TACATTTTTAACTCACCTGGGAGCTCTGAAATAGCTCTTCAAAGATAGGTCTCTGCCTTTCTCCCGTCTTCAGGTGTCACCAGTTGTATTTAGTTCGTGCTTCTTCACCCTTCCTGCACATCTTCCCTGCGTGACTCCTCTTCCAAGGGTGCGTGAGCTGACCTGTCCTTTGGCCCCTTCCCTCAGGCTTCGTTAGCTGATGCCCAGGCTCTGGTACTCTTGGCTCTCAGCTTTTGTCAGGCAGGCAGCATGTGGAAAATGGTGGGAGCAGGTGGGCAGCCCCCCCCCTTCTCACCGGGGCCTTCCCAGAAAGCATCTCGTGGTTACCTGTAGCGCTAGGAGTCGATGCTCCTTCGGCCAGCTCTCTGACCTATCCCCCCAGTCCCCGATGCCTCCTTCAAGGAAAACAGATGAGCAACTTTCTTGAAGTATTCTGAAGCATTTTCCTTTTACAGCATCACTGTAAAGGGGATTTATTGAGAGGAACAGGCGTGCTCTGATTAAGAGGAGCAGCCACAGAGGTGGATGGAGGTCAAGAACATCACTGCCGGCTTGGGCAGCGGCATTGCCGTTGCCGGGAGGTGCAGCTGCTCCTCTTCCATCCCGACTGCTCAGAAACCTTCCCTCGCCTGCTGCAGCGATGGGCTGGGTGGTTTCTGCAGCCCTTGCTCCGTCAGCCTTCGCAGGGTCCCAGCACGGTGCCGTACCAGCCACCTCAGCCCTGCCAGGGGCTGCCGGGGACGGGGCACCTTCCTCCACAGAGCCGCACTTCATCCCAGCAGCTCCGCACTCGTGCTTTGCCATCGCTGCTAACGGCAGCTCCCACCTCACCTGACACTCCTCCCGCATTAATTTTCCTCCGTTTCATTTGGGTTTTTTGTCTTTTTTCCAGGGGTACGGCAGCGGCAGGGCGTGCGGCTGGGGAGAGGGCTCTGGCTCCAGCCTTGGCACCCCCGTCCTGCTGCCCCAAGGAGAGAGGGTGGGAAGGAAGGGCGGCCAGAGCCGCTCGAGATATTACAATTTTTGGTGGGAGAAAAACCCGGCACGGTCCCTGGGCGTGGATGGCGTGGACACAGTGCCATCTCGTGGGGCTGAGCCCCGGCTCCCACGGCGCTGCCACGGCGAGCAGCATCCCTCGGGAAAAGGCTTTCCCGCGGGGGCGGCTCTGGAAAACGGCAAATAAGTTTGGCAGACAGAACCGGCTCTTACAAGCTATTGTAACATTTTATGTCAGGTAAGCACATCTGCTCTAAAAAAAAATAAAACATGGCTGCAGGCTTCTTATCCTCCAGTTATTACTACTTTTTTTAACGCTTATCCTTTTAGTTGTCCACCTTCGGCTATGTGCTGTAGCAGTTTTGCTGCTCTTCACACCATCTCTTCATTACATGTTTATTGCTAGCGCTATAAATAATATATA